ATAGATAGATAGATAGATAGATAGATAGATAGATAGATAGATAGATAGATAGATAGATAGATAGATAGATAGATAGATAGATAGGTGGATGGATGTTGGATAGATGAATGAATGGATGGATGGATGGATGAATAAATGGATGGATGAACGGATGAATGGATGGATAAATGGATGGATGGATGATAGATAGATAGACGGGTGGATGGATGTTGGATGGATGATGGATGGATAGATGGATGGATGGATATTGGATGGATGGATGGATGGATGATGGATGGATGGATGATGGATGGATGGATGACGGGTGAATGGGTGGATGGATGGATGTTGGATGGATGGATGGATGGATGATGGATGGACAGATGAATGGAAGGATGGACAGATGGATGGAAGGATGGATGATGGATGGATAGTTGGATGGATGATGGATGGACAGATGGATGGATGGTTGGATGAATGAATGGATGGATGGATGATGGATGGATGGTTGGATGGACAGATGGACAGATGGATGGACAGATGGACGGATGGATGGATGGATGGATGGATGGATGGATGGTTGGATGGATGAATGATGGATGGATGGATGGATAAACTTCAGAACTTCATAAAACAACAAGTCCAACCAGATGAACCTTGGTTACATTAATCATCAGTTTCTTCACAAACCTCTACATTCAGTCTAACCTGCATCACTTGGTGCCATAAAGACATTTTTCTGTTTCCTGCCATGAAGCCTGTATTCCTTTGGGCTCACTGTCGCTGTAATGTTCATCAATATTCAGCCGGTTACGTAACTGCATCAATAACACCTCTGTTAGTCTGTGCCTGAGAGGAGAGTGAGAGATCCAGATTGGCAGAGTGGCAGCAGTTTGACAGAAATAAAATACCGCACACTGAGAGGGGTCTGGGGAGTCTCTGGGAGTGAGCCCACCACTCACAGCATATGTCCAATATGTAGAAACCCGGGCTGAAAATGTAATAACGCCGACACCAGGGAAAACCACTCAGTTCTGAGGATAACACTTCAACTTGTGGCAACAGTTTTTGCCTCTGTCTGTTTGGACTGTTAGCAAAACATATCATGAAACAGATTTTAAAGAATCTATCAGAAACAGTTGATAAACAAGACTGAATTCTATTTAACATTTTTAACCAGGAAAATCCAGTTGATGTCAAAAGCTGTGTTTCCATTACAAATGTGCGCAAAACTTTGTCGATATTCTGTTAATGTCGAAAAACACAGTTTCGCAACTGTGGTGTTTCCATTAAGTAAGAAATACTTTTAAAGTCACGTGAATACGTTTGTTCTCACGATAAGTCATTACAACATGGCGGCGATGGATGTAAACACATAGCATGTTGCTACCGCGACACTAGCGCTCATCATCAGAGACGTCGGCGTCTTTTATCGAGGCTTTCCAGAGACAAGTCCCTACTTGGGAGCGGCTACGTATGCTGTGTTTTTGGGAAATTGTAGTCGTTGAGTTTACTACTTTGTACTACTTCTGTATCACTACTACTTCTACTGGTTAAATAACGGTAAACAAACAAACTAACTAACTAACAAACAAACTTCCTGTTGTCTTCTTCGTTGTCGTCTATTTCGCCAGTAAGAAACAGCCGGTTGCTGATCACATGACTCCCGTGATGCAAAAAAAGTGTTTCGATTGCAGTTTTGAAAAAAAAAAACACCGATTTTGATATGGCCGAAAAACCACATGCGCAAAAACATTGTCGAAAAACATAATTTTTTTTCTAAACTGACGTGTTTCCATTGAGCAAATTTATTTTCGAAATTCTAGTTTGCGCATTTTCATGGTCAATGGAAACACAGCTACAAATCTCTTTTGCAATGGAGGCCTGAACACAAGCTACCATGTTTTTGGTCAAGATGGCCTCCGCAGCAAAGCAACCTTACCAAACACACACACAAAAATTACCGTACAGCTCAGTTACTTTTACATATAGTGTCCTGAAATATGTTGTGGAAGTAACACATAATCCCAAGATTTACAAACACTCAACACCGTCTGTGAGTTAGCAAAACATCTAACAAACCACTGTTCAAACAGATTAGCGAACACAGAAATGTCTATAACTCTGACGTTCTGACAGACGTTGAGCTAAAATCTGGTGTGACAGTAGCTGATTCCCGTGATGTACTCTGAGCATTAACAAAGCCGACCCTTCTCTGCAGAACATGGTTTCGGTTCAACGCTGTCATGAAAGTCAACGGGCGATGTGCATTCCTTCAGCGAACACTACATTTCATGTCAGGCACTTATGATCTAAGATGACAGCGTGAAGAGTGGATCTTTATTTCGTGCTTCTTGCAGGGACCTTTCAAAGAGAAGCACATATCAGACACTAAGTCCAGCTTGTCGTGTAAGAGCCCGACTGTTTCCCTCTCCAGGGGTGTCATTAGCGCCACGTCCAATATGTGGGGTTCAAACCATGTCAGGGTGACGTGTTGTGATTGGACCCCCCCACCCTGCCTGCTGTTCCAGCCCGTCTGACTCACCCCTGGGACGGTGGAGGGACGCCTTCAGCTCAGTCGCATCTCTGCATCGTTTCCCTAATCCATCCCTCCTTCCTGCAGGCCCCGCCCGCCACACTGTGCTGCCATTTGTCACCAGTTTCAAACTTTCCAGACAGGCCCGAGCGTTCCTTTATGATGAATGTCTTTAATAATCTCTTTTCAATCTCAGGAGGAGAAGAGGGGTGGGAGCCAATTTGGAGGTATCACCCTGACGGGAGAGACTGTCAGCCCGCGGCTGCCCCGGAGGTAATGGTGCTCAAATGGATTCCTGCTACAAGCGCAGAGGTGGAGATAATTGGGGATGCTTGCTTGCTCCGAGGTTGCGCTCTGCTTTTTTGGTACTTTTGTCCCTGCCTGGCTGATGGCCTCTGCAGGGGGGAGGGGTTCTGCATCCCTCGCTGGGACTTGTGGAGAACATAAAACGCCACAGCTGATCAGCTCTGGTCATGAAGTAGCACGAGTGTCAGCTGCTTTCTGCTCCCCCATCTGTCTTCACAGCTTCAGGGTGCACGCTGAACGGACCGAAGGTGCTCCTCAGGAGGAGCGCTGATCGCTGCAAACTATGAGATCAAACGGAACTAGAGGGTTTTTTTGTTTGCTGCAAAAATGTAGCATGAATGCTTATAGCTGAAAGATTTTGCGGGGGAAAAAGATGCACAAAAATGTTGAAATTTGTTGTAACATGATATAAAAGTAGCTAAAATGTAGCCGAATAAGCTGATTTTAGAACAAAAAGGCCCGGTGGGACTTGGTGCAGCG